AGTGGCACAGCCCAGGCCAGCAGCGGGGCCCGGATACGCGCTGTGGAGTGTCTGCTGACAGCACCATGTGCTCAAGGACACGCCAGGGTGCGGGACAGGAGTTCCATGCACAGTTTTCAGGGCTGAGGTGCAGGACGTTGGTGGCAAATGGGAAGAACGGTGCTGGCTGGACAGCAGTTAGTTGTTTTGGCCTCATTTCATCTATGAGAAGTCACGTGAGGGGAAAATTTAAGAGTCATTATAAAAAATACACGGCTACTAGTATCTTTAAGACAATCACGAAGGAGACGCTACTGAAGAAAAGTAAGATCCCTAAGCATCATCAAAATGGCAAAACGCTGCCTGCTTTTGAAAGCGGAAAAGCCTCCATTCCTCAGTGTGAACGTGGATGTGAAGGCTCTGCTGAAATGCAGTTTGTGGTGAAGCCATCTGACACCCACACGGTGCAGGAAAGATCCAACGCCACCATCCGTGACAGCGATCCACAGTCTCGTCTCTCATGACTATATTTACAAATACACATTTGGCAGCTTCACGACGCTGCAGAAACCCAAAGTCAGGGTGACCCTTGAGGCTGCACAGACGTGCGAAGGGACCAGGCACCACCTCACCCTGGGCCGAACTCGGTGGGAGGTGGAGGCCCCTGAAGTGGAGACAGCCCTGCTGTCAATCTCTCAGGAAAGGGGTGGGGCCTCTGGCAGGAAATCAGAGCTGGACCTGGGGCCCTGGGTAAAGGGTCTGTCTAGTTCTGGGCTCCAGAGAGGTGGCACTCAGGTAAAGGCAAGCTAGCAGCGAGGAGATAGGTCCTGAAAAGCCAACAGAGCAAGATGGGCCCTTCTGGACAGATTTTTGGCTATAAGCGTTGGTGTTCCCATCCATGTGGTCCTTCCCTAAGTGGAGCTGAGTGGCTCCTGCTTGTTCCTACCTGAACTGTGGGCATGGAGGGAGGGAGGTGCGGGGTTCGGGGTCCGGCAGTTACCAGTCATTGGATGGAGAAAATAAATCAAGAACACCCTAACAGCATAGAGAACCAACAGCAGAAGCCACCTCGATTGGGTCCTACTCGAAGGACTTGGCAAATATTAATTCATTCACATCTCATGACAGCCCCAGGAGAGAGGCATTTCATAGGTATATTTTACAGATGATGAAACTGAGGCACAGAGAGGTTCAAGAGTCCCCCAAATCCCAAGGCGGTGAGTGAAGGAGCTGGGCAGGAACTCAGGCGTGAGTGAAGGAGCTGGGCAGGAACTCAGGCACCTGCACCTGCCCACAGGCACAGGCGACGGGAATGCCCTGGATATGCCCAAGCTCAGAGCCGGGGCCACTGTGTTGCCTTCACCAGGGAAGTCAGACATTTGAGCTGGTACAGGTTTGACCTGTCACCCACAGAGCCAGCAAAGGACATGTAAAAATTGCATGAGTGATGATAAAATTAGCAAGAGAGTGGCAAAGTTTTTCACATGTTCAGACAATTATCCCTTAGAAATGGAGAAATGGGCAAACTGTATGCCAGGTCAGTGTGAGTAATGTCAGGTCAAAATCCTGTCATCAGGCTGGGCAGGGTGGCTCACACCTGTAATCCCAGCACTTTGGGAGTCAGTGTAAGTAATGTCAGGTCAAAATCCTGTCATCAGGCCGGGCGCGGTGGCTCACACCTGTAATCCCAGCACTCTGGGAGGCTGAGGCGGGCAGATCACAAGGTCAGGAGTTTGACACCAGCCTGACCTACATGGTAAAGCCCCGTCTCTATTAAAACTACAACAATTAGCTGGGCATAGTGGTGCACACCTGTAATCCCAGCTACTCAGGAGGCTGAGGCAGGAAAATTGCTTGAAGCTGGGAGGAGGAGGTTGTGGTGAAGCCAAGATCATGCCATTGCACTCCAGCCTGGGTGACAGAGCTAGACTCCATCTCAAAAAAAAAAAAAAATCATGTAATTATTGAAGAGTACGTCACAATGATTAAAGATGATCATTTTGATTCATTCAAGGAACTTCATACTAAAATTTAATGATGTGTTTCATATTACCAACTATTGCAGAAAAGCACAGATGTCAATTACTTAGAATGAGTGACATCAAGTGTTTGAAAGTAGACAGAGGTGTCAAGGGTGACACAGGGTGTATAACTATACACTATTCTCTGAAGTGGTTTAAACATTTTCTCTGGAATCTTTACATTATTAACATTATTAATGTGGTAGTGATGTCTTTTTAAAAAACTGAGAATGCAATAATCAAATCTTAATTAAGTTCTTCTGGAGCACTATGTATTCTAAACATTTCCCGAAGTGTGAAAAGAGAATTCTCTCTTCCATTCTCAAGAAAGCGGGAGCTGGAAGGGGTGTCATCACAAGGTTGGCAGCAAAGCAGGTGTCAGGCTCTGCTTCTGATCGCCCCAGAGGAACACAAGGCAGCACAAGCCAACGGCACAGAAGCTGGAGAGATCAGGGCCCTGCCTATGCACAGAAGACTCTGATGGCCAACAGCAGGTCAGGGACTTGACAGTGTAATGTCACCCGTGCTGACAGCCTTCCTTGCTGCGAATTATTCATGCCAGGCTCAGTTTCTTTGATCCCCAGGTAGTGCTGCTGTTGTTTTTGGGATGGGGAAGGAGCCAGTGCAAACAGCTCATAGGGCTCCCTATCCCTGCTGTTCCCTTAGGAGTTGGGGTGTGGAGCTACTGGGGAACTGCTCTGGGACCCGATGGGATGGTGGGGTGTGCTGTCCTTTCCTGGGGCCCTTGGTGGGAAGGCATGTCCCCATGTGAAGCCGACTTGTTCAGCTCGGTGGCCAACCTCCCGGGTCTGTGGCTCTACAGTCTGAGTGCCATAGCCATTACACCCACGACAAGCCGAGATTCTGGGGCTGGGTGCATACCACAGCCGTGAGGACGTGGGTGTGGGCAGACCCATTGTACCGATGAGGAAATGGAGGCCAGGAGCATGGAAGACATTGGTTTCAGGGCGCACAAAGCGGTTACAGCAGTGAGCACAGATCCAACCCACCAGCCTGATGGCAACACCCCAGCCTCCCAGCTGCCCTCTTGCCATCGCTCCAGTTTCCCGGGCAGGGTTCCCTGGGTTTCTCTCCCAGCACAGGGTCTATCACTCACTGTGGACTTTGGTTTGGTGGATGGAATTTGATTAACAATAGCATCAATCCCCAGAAAGGGAACCTGGAGGGCGATTTATAAGAATCAGCCCACAGGGTCTCTCTTGGGTATTACTGGGCACATCTTTCTGGAAAAAATACTGATCTCTAAACCGCCTGTTTCTGTGGAGCTCTAGGGTGCTCTCCAGCCGAAATCCAGGACCATTCTCAGTAGAAGCAACAGTGAGAACTGCAGGCTCATGCCCGTGAAACTCAAAGCAGCAGCAGCTCTAGGTTCACTCTTCCCAGTAAAGGTTTACGGCCCAAATGGAAACCCGCCTATGTTTGCAGGATTCTTGTGCCTCTGACTTGAAGAGGACAGAGCCACCCTGATGTGGCCCTCTCTAGCAGGGTCTCTACCATCCCAATACAGCACACTCCTCTGGGGTCAGAGCAGGCCTGTTCCAGTCCTCTCCTCCACGGACATGGCCGTCCTATACGGTCCACTCCAGCAGGGTCTCCACCATCCCAATTCAGCCCACTCTAAGGTCATGGCCGGCCTGTTACAGCCTACTTCTCCAGGGACACGGCTGGCCCGATATAGCTCACTCCAGCCAGGACGTAACCGGCTCGATGTGGCCCACTCCACCTGGGATATGGCCTGCCCGATATGGCCCACTGCTCCAGGGACACCACGGTCTGAATACCCCCAATACAGCCCACTTCACCGGGAACATGGCTGGCTCAATACTGCCCATTCCGTTTGGGAGTGGCTGACCTGATACAGCTCACTCCTGTAGAGTCACAGCTGGCCTGATAGAGCCCACTCTATCAGGGTCTAGGGTCACAGCTGGCCTCATATGACCCACCTCTCCAGGGACGTGGCTTACCTGCTACAGCCCCCAGCAACCCCTCACAATGCCTCATCGCTCCAGTGAAGAAGCCCTTGTGTGAGCGATTGTGTTCACTGATTCTGCCCAGAACTGGCCAAAATCTTTGGATAACACAGAATTTGTTTAGCAAGAAAAAGTGGTGCCCCTAAGATCTCATCTGCAAGAGCCGACCCCCAGGGAGGGTGCCCTGGGATTTCCCACACTGCCTTGCTGTTTGTGGTCCACCGTCCACATCTGGGACGAGGCACTGCCTGCCCTCAGTATTTCCCTGCACAGAGCCTCTGGATGGCAGCACTACCCGGCCTCTGCCCTTCTTGCCACCCTAGCGCAATGCCCACAGCCACCCTAATCATTATCTAAAGCCACTGCCTGCTTGCTCCATAGACCCTGAGAAAGTCTAAGAGTGTCCTGACTTGTTAAGACACTGCTGCAGACGCCTCTCCTGGGCACCTGCCTGTGCCTAAATGCCCTTCTCCCTCTGGCTTAGGATAGAACTGTCGCACATAACTCTGGGCCCAACGTGACGGCCGCTGCAGGACTCAGTGAATTTCTTTCTCATAAAGATTTCCCTCCCACTCTGACGACCCCAAAAACCCCGCTGCCTGGGCACTGCTCAGAGCCATCCCTGAAGGCCACAGGCTTACCTGCCCTCAGATGGCAAGTGGCCCACCAGCAGGAAGCGCTTGACCCTGTGACCACTGTGGGGATGCCCCTCAGTGCAGCAAAGTCTAACGCCACTCAGAGGAAAGAAAACTGAGTGTGCTTTCAAAGTCAGTTTGAGTCTTCAACAGTAGTGTGCATGCGTGAGGTTCATTTCTTTAGGTATCAATCATAAGGAAATGCTTAGGGATACCTTTTCAAAATTCTGCTCTAATGAAAGGGACAAATATTTAAAACTCTGCAGGTGATTCCTTCTCGGAGCGGAAGAGAGTGGCAGGCCCTGCATGGCTTGAGGTGTGGAAGGTGTGTGTACAGGAGGCCTCCTGGCCCACGGCACGCCTGGGGCACTGACCTGTTTTCCTAAGAGGGAAGTCATCTTTGGCGTCGTACATTCCCAGGACCGGGTGGTTATAGGAGGCCGACACTCCGCTCTGGGGTGGAGAACTCTGATCGAGGGAACTGTGCTGCGTTTTCCTGGAGAAAAGGCAAAGACAGATGGTTTGGTTTGCCTAGGGCACTGCCCCAGGCATGCTGCAGCTGAGAAACCACACACATGATGATCTTTCCCTTGAAACCTCAGCCCCACCTCAAAAGATGTGCCTCTTCCCTAGGGTCAAGCTGAAATTAAACAGAAACAAACAGAATGCTCAACAAGCAAGCAAACACCCGATGCCCACATCCTCCTCTGCGGGACCACAGTGCTCAGGGCTGGGACAGGCAGAGCCTCTGGCTGTTTTCCTGGCGGACGATCTCCACCTGGCCCCGCCTTCTTAGATGGCTCCAGCCCGGTCTGTTCTCTGTCAGGGCCATCACTGGCCACTCAGACAGCCTGTCCCCAGTGGGGAGAGGCAGAGGAAGGCAGCGGGCTGTGGCATACGGCATCAAAAGTGAGTTCACAGGCAGCCGAGATGCGGCAACAAGCACTCTAAGAACAAATGCTGGTGATGTCTGGGGCTCTCTCCGCCGCCTGGAGAGAAGGAACCCATGGATGGGGCCGCCTCTCAGCAGAAAGCACCCATCCTCATCCGCACCTTCACCAGAGCAAAACTCACCCTGGTCACTTCCTTCTCCAGGGGAGGAATAGGATGGCAGCTACTGATACCCTGTGCTCAGGGAGCTGACCTACGAAAGGGACTTCCTGTATGAACAACCAGGTGCAACTCTACACCCTCCAGAGAGCAAGATAGGAGGAGCAGGCTGCCAGGAGGAGGCCATAGGAGGGCTGTGGGACGGGCAGATGTGGGCTGCCACCCAGACGACCGTCAGCAAGGCCTTTTTTGATGGCACTGACAGCTGAGTCTTGCTAAAAACACTGAGCTGAGTGGAATAAATTCTGTCTTTAAACTGTGTAATCTGCTTAATGACTAGAAACAAATTAGCCAACTTACTTATTTAGAATTGGTTAGACTATTTGAATACATAGTAGACCACACCAATGCACCTGGAGTTATCTGAATTAAGAATGGGAGCTCTTAAATGGGTACAGGTGTGTATTTAAATATTTGAGGGCACACCAGTGCAAAGAATGTGCTGAAGGGACTCAGACAAAACTGACTTGCAGAGGCCAGGCGCCTGGGCCACGGCTGCTGGGCTCTGCATCACCAGAGGAGCCAGAAGAGCTCAGGAAAACTGCCTAGCTTCAGGCCACGCCCCAACTCCGCCCACTGCCCATGGCACATCTCCACCCAAAGCCGCTTTCTGCTGTTTCCTGGGGAATTCCACCAAGGCTGGGACTGCAGGGCTGGGCCACGCCTATCTGCGCCCCTGTGGGAGCCTGGTCCCCTCCCGGGAACAAGCCTCCCTGCTTCTCCCTGAGGTTCTGCCCATCCTCCCTCAATCTCATGAAAAGGTCTGCAGGCAACATTCTTTCTCTTCCAAAGAGTATTTTCAGACTGTTTCCTATGGGGAATGTGGTCTTGGTGATTCCAAACTTCTTCAGCACCAGCTGACAGCCTGGGACCATTTCTGCATCCACTTTTCCCTTCATAAGAAACACAGTGACTTGCACAGGCATCTCATGAGTTAAAAAGATCATTATTTACATAATAATAACTTAAATAGCTTAAATACACAGAATAAAAGTTGTGATTACATAGGAATGCCAGGGTTTGCTTGCAGTGAAGCAGGAGTTGCAAAAGTCACATTCCTTTATGATCTAACAGGTCTTCTGCTACTGTTCTGATCTCTTGAGGTGCTTTCCCTGTTAAAAACTCCACTTCCTGTCAAACCTTACAACCAGCAGAGCAGGAGGCGCAGGAGGGGCTCAGCCCTGCCCGCTGCCTGCCAGCGCCACCCCACTGGACCCAAAACCTCACAGGAGGGACCTCACCTCCTGCACAGCCCGGCTCACCGCCACGAGCACACCGCGCAGGGCCGGCCCCACCGCGCACCTGCCCACCAGACGCCAGGAGAGGGTGGCCCTCACTGTCAGGGCAGCCACACGTGCCCAGCCCTGGTCACACGGCCCCAGGCCAGAGCGCACACGCATGCCCTCAGTGAAGAAGCATCCAGCAGGGAGAACAGAAGTGAAGCTCTATCCCTGCTGCAATCACACCCGCTCCTCACACAACTACTCTCACACCTGCTCCTCAATTACACCTCACACAATTGCTCACACCTGCACCTCACACAATTACACCCGCTCCTCACACAATTACTCTCATACCCACACCTCACACAATTACACCCACACCTCACACCACATAACTGCTCACACCCACTCAATTACTTACACCCGCTCCTCACACAATTGCTCTCTCACACCTGCTCAATTACTAACATCCCCACCTCACACAATTACACCCGCTCCTCACAAAATTACACCTGCACCTCACAATTACACCTGCTCCTCACACAATTACTCATACCCACACCTCAATTACTCTCACACCCACACCTCACACCACATAACTGCTCTCGCACCCTCAATTACACCTGCACCTCACACAACTGCTCTAACACCCACTCCTCACACTCACATCTGCACCTCACACAATTCTCACTCACGCCTGCTCCTCACACAATTACACCCACTCCTCAAGCAATTACTCATACCTGCCTCACACCCACACCTCACACCACACAATTACACCCGCTCCTCACACGATTACACCCACACCTCACACAATTACGCACCTCACAATTACAACCGCACCTCACACAATTACCCCACACCTCACACAATTACTCACATCTGTACCTCACACAATTATACTCACACCCACACCTCACACACCCACACCTCACACAATTACTCTCACACCTGCACCTCACAGAATCTCACACCCACACTTCACACAATTATACCCACTCCTCACACAATTACTCACACCCGCACCTCACACAATTACACCTCCACCTCACACTCACAGCCACTCAATTCTCACACCCGCACCTCACACACCTGCACCTCAATTATACTCACGCCTGCACAATTACTGACACCCACTTCTCACACAATTACACTCACACCTCACAAAATTACACCTGCTACTCACAATTACTCTCACACGGGCACCTCACACTACTCTCACACCCACTCCTCACACAATTACACCTGCACCTCATGCAATTACACCCACACCACACAATTACACCTAATGCAATTACACCCACACCTCACACAATTACACGGGCACCTCACAATTACACCCACTCCTCACACAATTACACCTGCACCTCACACAATTACACCCACACCACACAATTACACCTGCAACTTACACAATCACACCTGCACCTCACACTCACACCGCACAATCACACCCACACCTCACACAATTACACCCACTCGTCACACAATTACTCACACACCTGCACTTCACGCAATTACACCCAGTCCTCACACAATTACACCCACACCTCACACAATTGCTCTCACACCCGCTTCTCACACAATTACACGGGCACCTCACACAATTACTCTGACTCACACCCACTCCTCACACAATTACTCACACCTGCACCTCACAATTACAYCCAAACCTCAATTACGCCCACTACACAATTACATCTGCACCTCAATTACTCTCATACCCACACCTCACACGATTACACCTGCACCTCACAATTATTTCACTCACACCCCCACCACAATTACTGTTTCACTCACACCCACACCTCACACAATTACACCCCACCTCACACAATTACACCCACACCTCACACAATTACACCTGCTCCTCCCTGCTTCTCACGTACTCTCACACACCCACACCTCACACAATTACTCTCACACCTGCTCACACCCACACTTCACACAATTACACCCGCACTTCACACAATTCACACCCACTTCACACACTCACTCACACCTGCATCTCATATATTCACACCCACTCCTCACATAATTACTCCCGTTCCTCACAATTAGTCACAGCTGCACCTCAATTACTCTTACACCTGCTGCTCACAGTTGCGCACCCGCGCCTCACACAATAACACCCACTCACATCTGCACAACACACTAGTAACACCCACTTACACCCATACCTCACAAAACTCACATCCATCACATCTACACCTCACACTATTCACTCCCTCACTCTCACCTACACCCATACCTGCACCTCACACACTCGCTCACACCTGTACCTCCACTACTCACACCCACCGATACCTGCACCTCACACTACTCACCTCTGCACCTCACACACTCATACCATACTTCATAACACACTGACACTCACATGCAGCTCAGCTACTCACACCTGCACCGACTACTCACCCCCACACTTCACAGTACTCACACCCACACCTCACGCAAGTCACACCCATACGTCACACAACTCATTCAAAACTCACACCCACACCTCACACAACTACTCACACCCACCTACTCACACCCACATCTCACTTTTCCTACCTGACACACGCCTCACACTACTCACCCACACCTCACACAACCACTCACACCTGCACTGCACACTACTCACATCCACACTGCACACTCACCTCACACACACCCCACTCACCTTACACAAACTTATACCTGCATCCCCCACACACCCAACTCACACCCCACATCCACCTCACACCTTACACACACCCCACACCCACACACTTCATGCCTCACAACCACCCACACCTCATTCACACCCACTTCACACCCCATTCACTCCACACCCACATCCCATGCTCACACCTGTTACCTCTCCCACACCTTGCACTGATACTTCACACTCACCTCACTCAGCATCCTACAGTCACACCCTACACTAAGCTCACTGGAATCACACCCACCCACACTCACACAGTCATGCCGGCCGCCCTGTAGAGCCCTAAGGGCAGAACCTGCCAAGCTGCTCCCTCTACCTCATCCCAGCCAGAAATTATCTTCCAGTTTTTCAACCTTTCATTTCTTGCAGCCTGGGAATGGGACAGAGAAACCAGGCCAGGATGCTGAGGCGCAGCCTGCACGGGGCCCTGGGGCCGACCTGGACACCAATGTGAAGGCAATCCTCGTCTTCCTGAGGAAGATGGAAACTGTTTTCTTCTAAACATTGGCTTTACTGCAGAATCAAGCTTCACACAAACTCAACCATTGAAATTCCAAACCACTGCCTTTCATCACATTTGCACCAGGGATTTCCCGCAAATACAACACTGAACCACACGCGCCAGGACACTCCAGCAGAAATGTAAGATGACGGGAGCCACGTGAGAGCTTTGGAACTTCCTAGTAGCCACCTTAACATGGACAAAAAGAAATGAGTGGAATCAGCTTTAGTACTCTATTAACCATTGTAAACAGAATCCTTTCAACGTATACTCAATATAAATGTATTGCTGAGACACCGTGGTCCTTTGGACCAAGCTTCTGAAATCCCATGCTTTGCATCTACGGCATGACCCGGTTGGCCCCAGCCACGTTTCAAGTGCTTGGTAGCCACGTGTGGCTTGTGGCAGCCACATTGGAAGGTGCCATCTTGTCACAGCGGTCTGAAGCTGGAGCTCTGACTCACGTAGACACCCACGGAGTCCACCTCTGATGAAGACCCAGCGCCATCTCTCAGCAACCCCCTCTGCGGCCGCCTGCAACCTCCAGTCCCGGGTCTGCTTTCTCCCACGATCAACTCTCTTTGCTGACTCTGAATTTCTCATCAGTGGAGTCATGGGGGCAGCCTCTCTGTCTAGGCACCGTGCCTCCGAGGGTCCCGCAAGCTGCTGCAGGCGCCAGCGGTCCGTTCCTCATCTCTGCAGAGTAGCAGGCCAGCACGTCGGGTGCCCGTTTGCGCAGCCATTCCCCTGATGACGGGCGCTTGGTTGTTCCCATTCTTTGGCGACTGTGACCGTAAGAGGACGAGTCGTGGTGTTGCTTGCTCTCATGTGTCTTGGGCAAACCCAGAGAAGGAGCATTCCTGGGTCACAGAGCTGGTGGGTATTTGTCACTGTAGGGAACTGCCTGCCTGTTTCCCCAAATGGCTGTGTGACTCAGACTCCAACAGGCAGCACGTGGAGGCTCAGGGATGCCGGACCCCACATCTGCTCCAGCCCCGGCCTGTTCCCAGCAGGAATGAAGGGGCCGCCTGCCTCCACTCTGCTTTGCATTCACCTGATGACTAGCGACACCGAACACCTTTCCGCACCTACTGGCCATCCCCATGCCTTGTTTGTGAGGTGCCTGTTCAAACCTTTTGCCCATATTTTTAAGTGGGCTGCTTGTCTTTTTATTATTGAGTTACAGGAGCTCTATCTACGCTTTGGATACAAGCGGTTTGTCAGATACATGCGTTGTGAATATTTCCTCCCATTCTGTAGCTTGCCTTTTTATTTTCTTGTTGGGCCTTTCAAAGAGCAGAAGTGTTTCAGTTTGAGGAAATGTATTGTTTTGAGCTTTTGGTATCCAGTCCATGATTGTGGCGACCTAAGAAATCTTGTCTTACCCTCCCCATCAAGGTTGTGAAGGTTTCTCCCAGGTCTCCTTCCAGAAGTTTCATCAGTTACGCATCTAGGCTCAGGTCTATGACACCTGAACCAATTGTGCGTGGTGTGAGGCTGGGGTCATGGTCTCAGCTCTCCCCCATGAAGAGCTGGTTTTCTGACAAAGCTTCTGCCACCGCTCCATGATGTTTAGATTAGGGTTCAAACATGACAGAAAAAGGCACCAGACTTCCACGAAAACAAACCTGTCCTCTCGCTGACCTGAGACCAAGCCCTTCCCCCTCCAGCCTGAGCGTCCCCAGAGCCCTCTGTGACAAGGTACCCCTGCTCCGTGCCATTAAAGATAGGGCAGGCTGGCCTTGTCCAGGCCAAGACACCCACCCTGACCACCTGGCTCACCTGGGGAGTTCCAGGAAAAGTGAGTCTCCCAGCCCCAGCCACTCTGTTTGTCACCCCTGCTCCCTGGAAGCCCCCATCTCCCGTCTCTCAGCAGGTGCCCAGTGCCCTGAGGCTTCCCCAGGCCACCCCTTCTCCTGAAGCCTCCCCAGCGGCTGGTGCAGTCTTTCCCTGGACCTGCTACTCCATCCTCTGCTCAAGTCCAAGCCACTGTCCAGCCTCTCTTCCTGCCAGCCTCGCCCCCTGTCCATTCTCCACCCCCTCCCAGGTGAGCAGGCGCAGGCGCCCACCTTCCTGCATGCTGCCGTGGCCGCCCTGCAGGGCTGCTCTGTGCTCACTGCCACCCCTGCTTCCCTCCGCCCTACTGCTCTGCTCCTGCACCTTCCTGCCGTAGCTTCCCAGACCCCAAGCTCCTCCTCAGAAAGGACGGCCCATGTTTGCTGCACTCCGATCACTGTCTACCCAAAGCTCCCTTGCTCAGCTGCCTCATTCCTCCCTGCCCATGGGGACCTAAGGTGGCCCCGTCCTGGCCTGGCAGGCTCTGCACTCCAGCTCTCCAACCTCCGCCAGGCCCCAGCCCACCCTGCTCCTGGCTGCTGGTCCCGAATTGTGATCCACACTCCTGTCCCTTGCTGCTTCTGCCCTGCAACTCCACACCCCAGCCCAGCCAGGGTACAATGGAGCTTCTCCACAACCAGCCAAGGCAGTGGACTGGGTCTGGGGTGCAGATCGGGGTCCCCCCAAAGCGGGCTCCCAGGCGCTGGTGGCCAGTGATTCTCAGGAAGCCTCCTCCTCTGTCGCACCCCGTGGCTCACTGCTGTCCCATGTCGCGGCCCTGTGGCTCACTGCTGTCCCGTGTTGCGGCCCGTGGCCCACTGCTGTCCCGTGTCGCGGCCCCGTGGCCCACTGCTGTCCCGTGTCGCGGCCCGTGACTCACTGCTGTCCCGTGTCACGGCCTGTGGCTCACTGCTGCCCCGTGTCGCGGCCCGTGGCTCACTGCTGTCCCGTGTCGCGGCCCGTGGCTCACTGCTGTCCCGTGTAGCGCCCCGTGGCTCACTGCGGTCCTGTGCTGCCTCCCACAGACGCCGGTTCCCACTCCTCCTTGTCAGCTTTTGTGTCCCTGGTCGAGTTACCCAAATCCCGGCGGTATATCTGCCCCGAGTGCATCTTACATGCCCCTGGCAGGCACAGCGACCAGGGGTGCAGAGGGTGTGGGCCACCTCCATTGAAATGCCTGTTGGGTTGTGTCAGGGTAGCTGATGGCCTTCACGGAAACAAGGGGGCTTGCGTCTGGGGTGGGGGGTTTCACTACAGATAGCTGTCCATTTTGAGGCTCGAGAATAGCTAATTTTTCTTCCCAATGAAATTACTGATTATATTTTGATTTTTAAAAACTCCCTTAAGGGATTTTTTTTCTAGAAATGAAATGAACCTTGAGAGCACAGAAAACTACATTTCAAAGCCATCCTCCGTTGCCCTTGCTACTGTTTAAAGCCACACAACCTCGCCACTGCGCTCCCACGAGGCCTCTGTGAACTCGCCTCCGAAGCCCGGCGTTTGCACGGCATGTCGGCTTCCTCCAGTCCTCAGATGAACAGGCCTTTGTGGTCTCTGTCAACTGCGTGGGCTCTGGCAGGGGGTCCTAGTGTAAAATAATAGGAGTGCCACAGGGCCTTCCTGACTAGCCTAAGAATCAATGAGAAGCCAGGTGGAAACGCTGTCAGAGCACTGAGGGTTCAGACAGGAGTTCCAGTTTAAGTGGTTCTTATTGTGGCTGAAAAACGGCACAACATTCCCAAGAATGACGACAGGCGCCAGCCCGGGGACCACCACTCGGTCCCTCTGGAGGCGGCCCCCCCGTGAGGATGGCTGCCTCGAGAGTGCACCCAGACCATGACACCCACATCCGAGCGCCACTGTGCCTGGGGTTTCAATTCCTCGCCTTCCCTCCCTGCCCAGTGGGTGCACAACTGGGTCCATGCAAATCTACCAATGATCACGTGGTGCTCTGGGCCCTGTGAGAGGCCGGGGTGCTCCCCACGCCCACACTTACCCGTACCAGTAGCGAGGGTCGCTGGAAAGGCAGTGGTTCAGGTTCCGGTGCGCCAGCGCCTTCTTTTTATTGAGGACAAACTCTTGCAACTTCATCTTCACTTCTGTGCTGGCCACGGCACCTGGCGTGGGAGAAAGCACAGCAGGAGGGTGAAGTGTGGCTCCGGCCCACGGCAGCAATGCAGGGCAGCGGGCACGGGGGGACAGCAGGGACTGCTATGCACCTTCAGCACGCTGCGCCCTGCGAGCGAAGCTTCCTCAAAGAGCCACCAAGGCCATGAGGAGTTTTTCATACGCGGTCTTCTTCCTGTCAAGATTTTACATAATTGCTTTCTATTTAAAATGCAGATTTAATCATCCAAAAGACTGATTGTTAGCTAACATAAAACCCACTTCTGAAGGCAGTTTAATATTCCGACCAAAAAGAGCACTCTGAATTAGGCACTGGCAGCACGGTGGTTGCATTCCTGCTGCCGCAAAGCAGAGTCTAAGAGAGAAAGTTTTGTGCAGATGGAAGCATCACGCGGGGACAAGGACGGTCCCCCAGGCAGCCTATTTCCACCCGTGCCGGCTCTGCGAAGGGCAGCGCCTGTCCTCTCCAGCCTGGCAGCTCAGGCTCAGGCAGAGTCACGGCACCGAGCGGGACTGAATTAGAAACTGTGGTTTTCTTCCGCGGCGGTGATTATTTTTCAAAGCCTCGTTAAGGAGAACTGGTGAACAAGGCCAGTCTCACCGCCTGAACGCAGGGCCTGCGAGCGCTGAGCTACCTGCCTCCGATCTACACCTGGCTGCGTGGTGCTTCCGCCGCCTTCAACAGCTTCCGCGTATTGAGTAATACTCGGGGTGTTTGTAACGCTAAAAACACACCTTGAGGTGATGAAGCATGGTTTACAAAACCACTTCCTGACCAGCAGGCAGGTGTGCTTGTTAGAAACCACACTGCAGTGAACATTTCTGAGTGAGTAATGCTGACCACCTTTGGAAGGACTTGCTCAGGACAGAGCTGTGAAAGACTACAAGCATCATCTTCTAACCGCAACACATCTTGCTAAATTGCTGTCAAGGCTCACGCCTGTAACCCCAGCACTTTGACAGGCGGAAGAGGGCAGATTGCTTGACCCCAGGGGTTCGAGACCAGCTTGGACAACATGGCAAAACCTTGTCTCTACTAAAAATACACAAATTAGCCTAGTGTGGTGGCGTATGCCTGTAATCCCAGATACTTGGGAGGCTGAGGTGGGAGAATCACCTGAGCCCAGGAAGTCCAGGCTACAGTGAGCCAAGACTGCACCACTGCATTTCACCCAGGGCAATGTGAGTGAGACCCTGTCTCAAAAGAAAAAAACAAAAGCAAAGTGTCTCTACACATTGAGCCACCGAACCACCCATCCACCTGCACCGGGGTCAGCTGTCCCTCCTGCTGCCCCTCAGATCACCACTTCCCAAAGCCACAAAGCCAGCAAGCATCACTGTGAAGTATCCCTGAGCACCGCTGGACACGGACTTATTTTCTGTCTTGCAAGGTATGTCATGTCCTTGGCTTATTTGTTCTTAGGAATCTTTCTGTGATGTGCACAGTGGTGGTGTGGATCTGTGTGTGTGCGTTTCATGGCTTTATCCACTGGAGTTATGTGAGTTTCCTATAATAATGGCTGTAGTGAGAGCCTAGTATATGCCAGCCCTGGCTTGGTGAAACCCCATGTTACAGCTATAAATAGGCATTCTCATCCCCCAGCTGTGGATGGAGAACACAAGGTGGGGGATGAGAATGCCTATTTATAGGTGCGCCTCAGGTAAGGTCAGCTCAGTTACCAGATCTTACTGATGCCCTGGTTCACAACTTTTGGCTGTTGTGTGTGTGTGTGCATGTCTGTGTGTGTGTGCGCACGTGCCTGCGCATGTGTGCGCGTGAGTGCACGCAAACATTTACCCTGCCTCTTGTTTCCCTGTACAATTTGGGTAAAGTGTTCAAATGCTTGTTTTTATGAATCTAGTTTACATTTTCCTTTGTGAATCTCCCCCTTTCCTTGAAACTTTGCAATCGTTCTTCCTGTCAACAGTTTAATAAGCAATGATTGTAACTTTATCCTTGGCTCTGGTGTTCGGTTTTCATTCGCTGGGTTGTTTGCTAATATTTTTTCATGGCTCAGAAATGGATTTTAGCATCGAAGGCTCTATGGATATTTTGACAAACTGCTAATAAATTATTAATATCATTAGAAAAACTATTTTCCTTGCCACCATCATCACATATCAAATGTCTGCTGCCACTCACAAGTGGAGTTTTGTCAGTGACATACACCCTGAGTCCCCAGCAGAACCCCACTCCTGCTACATCAAGGTGGAACTTCAATGCCTGCTAGCAACGAGACCCTTGGAAACAGGGTCCACCCAGGCTGTGGTGGGGCCGGCACTAGACTAGCCAGCAAACACAGTTAACTACACTACCACCAGCACGAATCTGGGAAGGTCCACTGGGAGGCAGCCGGCTTTAGGCTTGGGGCTCTCATGGTCTGAGGAAATGACGTCACTGCTCGAGCAGAGCTGTGCCTGTGATGGGCCCCAGCGCATGCTGCTGAAAATGGTCACATCACCCGAGTTGTGACTGGGTGGGAGGGGTACAGAAGGGATCCAGGCACCTAGCCTTAGATGTGAACATTACTTACAAGCACTTGCAGCCTAATTGTCTGTCTGTAAGGGGACTTGCGAGCATACCACACGTTTATGGAAACCATTTGCTTCTACCATTCCCAGGCATGTGATCACTGGGATTCCTAAAAGATTATCAGCAGCAGGCTGCGAACTTTGAAAAAACAGACCCAGACCTAAACCAGAGAATTAACCTTGTAAACATACAAGCTGCCTCCACAACCAGGAATCAAAGGAAAGGCCAGGCGGTGGGGAAGATAAGTGAGCAGAGAACACAGATGACCAATTTCAAAAGGAGAAGGCAAATCTGCCAACTGACGAAATCCAAAGTGAAGTGGGTAGCACAGACTTTTTGCCTTACGCTGCTAACTTTTTTTTTTCTATCCATGCTGCTGACGGTACAGGGAAGTGGTCAAATCGCACAATGATGCAGGTGACAGTGACGACGAGAACCCAGATGGCCAGTTGGAGGGGATGGCCCTGCAGGCCCCTCTACACGGCCGTCCTTGAGTGGACACAGCAGAGCAGGGCAGGAAGCAGGTTCTCAGTGTGCGGGACAAGGATGCCCTCAGCGCTTCCCAGCGGACCCTAAGTCAGTGCAGTCAGCCTTAGTTCCTCAAAACACCGGTTCCCAGAGCACAGGGACAGCTGCTACTGTAGACCCACTGGCCTTCCACGAGGGAGGGCACGCACTCCAGGAAGAGGGCCAGCAGACCTGCCTTTGTGACCCACACCCTCTCCCTGCTTCTGCAACACCACTCAGTGGCAAAGGGTGACCTGGCCACAGCCTGGCTCCCTCCACACAGGGCTGGGTGGTGCAGATGATAAGCTCACACCCCAAGCAGGGTGGGTGGCATTGCTGGGGTTCATGCCCCAGCCACGCCCCACACAGGCCTGGCCAGCAGGAAACACAAGGAACGTAAGTCATAGATTCATGATCTTTCCGATCACTAAGGGGTCTTCTTTCAGACTTTATTAGGACAGTATTCAAAATAAGGGCCAAGCCTGACCCCACCCTGTTTCTGCACTTCCAGGTACACATGCTCATCTGTCAACAGGCTTCTCACTTCAAGTTCGAGAATGAAAAAACCCACTCCATAAATGGATAGCAGATCACCCTAAGTTTAACTTTGACCTTTTTTTTTTTTTTTTAATTCACTTTGGGTATCACTCATCCCCTGGATGGAGGTTTCTACGGAGGCTCTATGAGATGCCCGCCGGCTCTGGCCAACAGAGACGAGGAGGTGGAGGAAAGAGGCCATGTTCTTCCCATACCAGGGGGCAGAGAGCGTGCCTGGGACCGAAGGATAGGGCAAGCAACAGCCGAGCGGGGCAGACAGAGGAGGGCAGCAGCTCTGGGCGGGGCGGGCAGGTGCGGAGGGATGGCTGTGCTCCCGGAGGGCGGTGGCCCGAACCTGGCAAGTCCAGAAGACGGGGCTGTCACAGGTTTTGCCTGGCTTTTGCCTGAGAGTGCTCTTTTTATCCCACCCCATTGGCTCTGAAGAAGGCGCAGCCTCACAGAAGGGACACCTAATGACTTTCAGCATCAGGTGTTGAACCTTTAAACAGCCTTTCAGGTCATTTTTACACAAAGCAAAGGACTTGCTCAGTGCCTGTGCTGCGCTCCCCGCGGGGCTGCACGTGGGAGCCATGGTGGGTGAAAGCGCAGCTGCATTCATGCCACGCGGCTCCGCACCCTCCCGAGTTTCTGTCAAGAGGTGTGTGTCTTAGATTCCCAGGTGCCGTTATTCTAAATCAAAACCTAGTTGATTAAAGACAGTGTATTCTTGCTAAGCGTGATGAAAACTGCCACCAATTCTAAGAATTCACCGTTCAGTCAAATGCATCACATTACTTGGTATCAATAAATAAAAGTGCAGAATTATTTAAAATTAAAAGTAATGTAAATGTTTACAAGTGTAACGGTATTTATTAAATACTCAATAAGAAATTCACTTTAAGAAAAAGCCCAGGAGAATAAACAGATGCTGGGCGCCGCGCTTTCAAACGCTCAGGCGCTGGAGATCCTCGTGTCCCTGCGCCAGCCCACCCCAGCTCCTCCAGCGCAAACAAGAGGCTCCTTCACGGGGGAAGACGCGGCCCCCGGGCCCCGCTCACATAAGAGCCCCCGAGAGGCGTCCACCGTGGGGGCCTACCGGCCCTGCGTCCTCACCACAAGACCACACTCTGAGGGCTGCAGAGCCGACACAAGCTTGCCAAGTCCCCAACTGTACAGTTTATTATTAATAATAAAACCTGACCACCCAAATCCACAGTGAAAACCACCATGACTGCTGCCTGTGACGGGGCTGCGGAGGCAGGAACATTCCAGAGCTCCCGTTAAGGGTGCAGGGCAGGGACGGCTGCGGGTGCAGGGCAGGGATGGTTTGGGGCTGGTCAACGGGTCCCAAATGTTTTCTGAAGTAAAGTCTTTTCAGAGTCTGTGAGCCTCAAGATGGTATTTTGATTGGAA